TTAATTTGATAAATACGTTTATCTTTTTCATGCCTGTACCCTGCTCATCCAGAATCAATTTTTTCAAGGTACAATTCTCCTCTATGGCCTAGATGCTAATATCTTATCAGTCCTCTTTGAAGCTGCTGATCTGAAAATAAAAAATGACAAGTCTCTTAAGCTGTGTGACATAGTGGGGAACAGAACAGCTACCAAAAGATTGATTATTTGGAATAAGATTATTCTCATTTAGCAAATCATCAAATTTAACCTGATTATAGTTTAAAATTCGATGACACTGCTGATGTTCAATTGTTCATTTACTATATCTTCATAGTAGTGCATGTTGAATTGACAGACAAGTTGGTTTTTTTCAGGATTATGATAGCTCTGAGAAATTTCAAATCCCTGATGATCGCATAAGTCACTTGCTTCCCAGATTTTTCCAAGATAGGATAGTGAGGGTGTACGCAAAGAAGCCGGAACTGGTTCGTGCGCTTAATACATGTTGTCCTTGTTGTCATTAAATCATAAACTTAATTGAAGCATATGACTGATGAGTGAGATATAATCATTCAGGTGGGAGCAGTTGCTGAGGCCTTTGAGAACTATCAGGTGAAGACATATGGATGTAAAGCCCAGGTACATGCAACTCCTGATAAAAAGAAGGCACGCAAACAACTGGAATATCAAAATCAAAATGACCGTCAGTGACCACTGTGTATATCCATATATCTGACTGTAAAGAAACGTAAACATCCTACCGCATATTATTTTGGATATCAGCAACTTTGTAAATGTACGTATGAATATCTGGAAGCCATGAGAAAATGTATAAATCCATATAATCGTGTATCTCTCTCGACATGGATATGGTCAATGATGGTTTGACGAAGCTTGTTTACAATTTTTTTTTTTAAAAATTGGTGGAAGTTTGGACTTGGTTCCAAAATCATGAGTTTTCCCATGTTTTTGGTAACAAATACAGCTCGTTTAGATGCGTAACTCAAGTCGTATGGTTCCACAATTTCTTTTTTATGTATCCACGTTTCTTCTTCTTTTTTTGTTTTGTTGTTTTTTTGGAAAAACGAATGCGTTTCTTACCATTTAGTGCTCAATCTATACTCAAAAGTGATGTGTTGTGGCCGGTGTCGAAAGTGAACAGCTTGTCTGCAACACTGGGATTCAAACTCCTACCCCCGCTCCTTGTCTTTTGCACCTTAACCAATACACTGAAGTCTCATTTGTGTATTTGTTCCAAAAGCCTCCTACTTATGTGAATCATGCGGGCTGTTGTTACTACTGTTAATTAATTACTTGAATTCCTATGATTATTTTCTCTCTTTCATGTTTAATTCTTTTAATGTTATTTATTTATTTTAAATATTTTCATGCACTTAGTTAAAAAACATGTGAACATTCTTAGTATTTTATTTATTATTGTTTTTTATTATTATGATAATTAATAGCTAATCAACTTATGTAATTTACCATGCAATGTATAAAGTGTAAAATGTTATACTAAATTATTATAAATAAAATTAGAATGTGTTTAATATTTTTTTATATATTAATTAATACACATTTTCTAGGTTACAATATTTGTCAGCTCATAACATAGTCACTTGAAATTACGATATTTCCATATTTTTGAACCACCAATATCTATTACCTTGATAATGAGTTTTCCCTTGTTGTCGGTGACAATACAACTAGCTTATATGTGAGAAGCGAAGCCTAAGCCTTAAGCTAGGGGTAATGATCACGGGGTGCAACCGTGCAAGAGGTGTCTTATGTATATATGCACGTTTTTTCTTTTTTCAAGAATTAAACACAAGAGGTGTCTTAGAGAAAGAATTTTGACAAGAAAAGTTTGCATAGATCCAATTCATTAGCCAATTCAAGTATCAAAACCCAAATCATAGAGTTAAAGAGCTAAAGTATACGTTGCATTCCCTTTTTTTTGTTCGAAAATATGATTTCATTAAAAAGCCAGAAAGGTTGCATCAACAACCAACATAAAGGAGAAGAACATACAGCACACTAAATCTTCTCTAAGAGAAAGAACTCAAGCAACAAAGTGACACAAACAAACATAACAATATGAAAGACTGAGAAGCAGCAATAGTCGAAACACCATAAAACAACATAACTGATGTCTCGGCAGTAGAGCACTCCAGGACCTCTAACCTTTTGAAAGCCCATACACTTGAAGCGTAGGGGAGTCCATCGTTCCCCAAGACAAAAATAAGGGAGGTTGGGGTGGTGGTGCGGGTGCAACAATGCCGATGCTGGGAGCGAGTGGGTTTGGTTTCTTGTTTTGTTTTTTTCTTTCTTAATTTTATTGGAAGGGCAAAATTGGACTTTTAGACTCTTAAAATTAAATTAAACTTATGGTAGTTGTCATGTCATGTTGTAGATTGTTTGATTATTATAATGGATGTGAGAAAAAATGAGTGAATTCTAAATGCATAGGCTCGGGATCCATTTAATTAGTATCCTCCAATATCTTAAATTTTTTCCTTTGGAATTAAAATATATGTAATTAGATGTCACCTAATATCAATTACATTGAAGTGAAAAGTTACAAGTAGCCAGCAAGTCTTAAAATTACTTGTATCACACAGTTTACATTTTACACCTAACCCAATTAAAAACGAGTTCAGCATTGAAATGAAACTATGATTTCCTCACCACAGTTATACGGTTACCAAATAACTGTTGGATTTTACATGAACAATTTATAGATGAGATAGTGAAATTGAAAATAAGAGCGCCAAATAATATTTTGCCTTCTTTAAAACTAGGTACAACGATTTATTAATGAATAAGTTTTACTTTTGCACCATTCGTATTATTGTTGCGTTGAACACAAATGTGTTAAAAGACTTGGGCCTCGTTTGGTTTGCGGAAAAGATTTGATGAGAAATAATTTTTCATATCTTTTCTCAAGGGATAGGCAATGGAAGATTCATTTCTCATGTTTGATGATGCTAGGAAAGTAACAAGAAAATACCCCCCTAAACCCTAAATACCACTTTATTTCTTTTTTCCCATATTTGGTTTGAGTAGGAATGTAAAACAAAATTTGTTTAATTTTCTAATTATACCCATACTAAATCAAATTAAAAAAATGAAATTTAATGTTATATTCTAATGCTAAAGAGTGCTGCTATTTCTATTAGTCCTAGGCTATCCTTAGATTTGAATATGAAATCATGATTGGTTTGTACGTTTGAAAGTTTGATACTTTTTGTTATGATAATTTTTGTATTTCAAATATGAGATAAGGATAACCTCATAAAAGTAGGAGTCCTATCTTGTCTTTGTGAATTGCTAAATTCTTTTATTTTTTGTTGTTCAATATTTTCATATCCTTTTATTTTGATTGATGTTAAGTGCTATTATCTTTTCATGAGTTCAATTATATTTTTCTCATTGTTAAGAATTGACTTGGCATGCTTTTAAATTAAAAGAGTAGATATTAAGCAACTCTATTTTCTGAACAATCATTAATAAAAGATTACATTGAAAAATTAAATTGGTTTTAATTTCTTTATCTTCCGGTTAAAGTTTCTCAATGATGATTTTAATCGAGTTATAATTTGGATTAAAGAGCATGAAACATATTTTGTTTAAAGAATTGAACCTTGATGCCTTAGCATTTCCATTATTGATATTTCATTTTTAAACTCAATTTCCACAACAATCAAATCGAATTACTTTTCCATTTTGCTTGTTACTTTTATTGTGGTACGTTTAATTATTTCTTTGTGTGCAGATATTTGCCTACCTGCTCCTTGAGGATACGATACTTGGACTTCCAAGATTATTATTACGTGTGACTACTTGCACTTGGGTAGACGCTGAGCTGTACTGATGGATCATTAAGCCAAAAACGTGTTTAATATTTTACAATTTCCACCCCTATCCTATTTTTCCACCCATCTTATCTTCAAAATTCTAAAGACAAATTTACCCCTTTGTAAAATGACTTCTAAGAACTTATGGGAAAAAAAGTCAACTCACCTAACCTATCTATTCTTTAAAAATAATTTTAAATTTTAAAACCAAAAGTAAAAATAGTGAATTCAACCCATGCGGTTTGGACCTGGAATAAGAATGACGATGATGAACCTGTAAGGTCTAATCAGGTCTGGATAACCCGTTGATCAGTTCAGGATGCGTTGCTGAGAAGAGACAAGAACGAAGGAATATACTTGTAGCATCGTAGAACTTGTCATGCATGTGATGCTACCTGATTGGCATTATTGCATGAAGCTTATCAAATCAGGGTTTTTGTGCATATATAATATGATGAAATCATTTATCAACTGGTTGATGTGCTAATATAATCCCATCATTGCTGCTTGAATCCAGTGGCGGAGCCAGGAATCATACCACAAGGGGTCTTAGTGTAAAAGTCCAAATAAAAATTTAGGATTGAAAAACATATTGAAAATGAAATCATAGTACTTTCATTCATAATTCATAACGGAAATAATATTACAAGCTATAATTGTCCACGACGAGGTTTCATATTTTGAAAACGAAGCATTATAGCTTCATTTTCAATACAAGCAAAAATATCTCTCTCAATATAAACAAGCAAGCTATCACTCAACCATTGATCTCCCATTTTGTTCCTAAGTGGACCCTTAACAATATTCATGACAGAAAATGCCCTCTCCACTGAAGCAGTTGCAACCGGTAAAACTAAAGACAATGTAATGAGCAAATATACATAATTGAATACTTGATGCATCCTTGTCTCCACCATTTTTTTTTTGCAAGATCACCAATCCCTTGCAATTGAGAGAAATCACTCATGGAACGCACATAATGAATATAAATCTCAAGTTGATCTTCAAGTGCCAAACGATCCTCATCCGAAAAGTCTTGAGGATAAAATTGAGCAAGACGAAGTAACTTTGATTTATCAAAAGCTACAAATGAATCTTTCGGACTCAAACATGCCAAACAAATAAGCAACTCGGTATTTACCTCATTAAAGCGATCCTCTAACTCCGTATAAATGCCTCTTCCATGTTAGGAACATAAATATGATGTTTTTCACAAAAAGAAGATACTTCATCAACCAATGCATCGAACCCATTATTCCTCATCCAATGTAGCTTTTCCTTGCATGATTTCACTAAAGCCATTGCATTAACAATTTCTTGATCTTTCCTTTGCAATGCTTGTGACAAATCATTTGTGAGTCCCAATATGACCTTCATCAAGAAAAGGTGAAACACAAACTCAAAACTCTGTATTTCTCTCATTAACTTATTTGCTTCACCCGCACTTTCATTGGGATTATCATCAATAACCATTTGAAGCACATGAACCACAGATGTAAACATAGAAATGATGCTAATCAAGGTACCATAGTGTGAGTTCCATCGTGTGTCACCGGCACGTTTGAGACTTGTTTCTTGATTTAAGCCTTGCCCCGTTATAAGACAATCATTTTCAAAAGCTATCACAAGCTCTTCTTGAAGTTACCCTTTAAGTAAATCACGCCGCTTACAAGATGCTCCAACATGATTAACCACACTATTAGACGTTGCAAAAAAAGAGGCAATGTCTATATTCTTCTTTGCTACGGAAACAAGAGCTAGTTGAAGTTGATGAGCAAAGCAATGAACATAATATGCACAAGGTTGTTCTCTCAATATCTTTGTTTTAAGGCCATTCAACTCACCTCTCATATTGCTAGCACCATCATAACCTTGTCCTCGTAGCTTGGAAATGCTCAAACCGTTGTGAGAAAAGAATGTGTCAATAGCATCCTTTAGTGAACTTGAAGTAGTGTCGGTAACATGTTGGATACCCACAAATCTTTCAATTACATGCCCGGAGTCATCCACATAACGCAACACCATAGCCATTTGCTCTTTCACCGATACATCACGTGCTTCATCCACCAATATTGAAAAGAATCTATCTTTTAGACCATCCATGATAGCATCAAGTGTTTCAAGGGCACATGAATTCACAATTTCTTTTTGAATGCAAGGAGCTAGTAATTTGAGATTCCCCGGAGCATTTTCCATAACAACTTCTTTAACTTTATCATCATTATCTGCAAGGAATTGTAATAGCTCAAAGTAATTTCCCCTATTGCATGAAGTGGCACTTTCATCATGGCCACGAAAAGCAAGACCTTGTCGCAATAAAAACTTAGTGCACTTGATTGATGCTATCAAACATGTGCGATAAGCCTTACGAGCTTGGTCGGAGTGTTTGCTCACTGCCGTTTTAATATGTGTAGCTTGATTCATCAAATTTGTAGCAGCTTCTCTAGCCTTATTATGAACACTCCCAACCGGTCCAACATGCATCTTAAATCTGTCTCTCCCTTTCTTCCAATTCTTAAATCCATCTCCAGTGAAAGGTTCACTACCCACTTGTTCAAAATTGGTTTTAAAGAGATAGCAATAGAGACAAAATGCCGCATCTTTAGATATACTATACTCCAACCAATCAAACTCATCAAACCATTGGGGAATGAAGCGTCGATTAATTCCCGACATATTAGTTATCGGGAAATTATGACCTCTAGGTTGACAAGGTCCTTTTTGTAGATATGATCTTCGGACCTCATCTCTCATATTAGCATCATAATCTATCATTCGATTTCTTAATCCAGGATCTGCTTGAAGATTACCCAAAACACCATCTGACTGACTTTGTCTTGAATTTGGAGTTGTTGAACTACCAACAGTATTTGAACTATCAACATTATTCGAACTACCCAAACCCGATGATGACTTTCTCTTAAAAAATCGTTCCATAATACTTCTACATATACAAAATATTCAAAATAAATACTCACAATTTAAGCAAACCATCAACATAATAAAAATAAACATGAATTGGATATTCAATTAAATTAAATATATTCTACATATACAAAAACTTGCAAAATAAAACTCACAATTTAAACAAACCATCAACATAATCAAAATAAACATGAATTGGATTTCAATTAAATTAAATATATTCTACATATACAAAAACTTGCAAAATAAAACTCACAATATAAACAAACCATCAATATAATCAAATAAATATGAATTGAATTTCAATTAAATTAAATATATTCTACATATACAAAATAATGAAAATAAAAACTCACAATATAATCAAACCACCAATATAATCAAAATAAACATGAATTATGTTTCAATTAAATTAAATATATCATATATAGGGTTTAGAACTTACTTGAATTGTGAAATTTCACAATGACAATTAGCAAATATAAAGAGAGTAGATGGCGGCACCACCACCACAGCGACGACGACGGCAGCACACAGACACCTCAATGGCGGCAGCAAGGGAGGAGATGGAGTTGAAGGCTTGGGGGGGATTAAGTTTGGAACTTAGGGTTGGAGGAGGAGAAAACAAAAGAAATTTGGGGTTTTTTGAATGAAAGAATCGACTCTGTGTCTGTGGAGAAGGAGAGGCTGAGAGGGATACATTGGGCATTCTTTTTTTTGTTCAGACCTGGGCCAAAACGACGTCGTTTTGGCCAGGTCATTTAAAAACATTCCCTGGGCCAAAACAAAGTCGTTTTGCCCAGGTTGTTTTAAAAAAAAAGACGCGCGCCAGAGAAGCCTCGCCTCCTTCTTCTTCAGCTGTTTTGTTCCTTCTTCTTTCAAGCATTCCGTCGACCACGTGGTGTGCAGCTCCAAGAGGTCGCGCCAGCAGCTCCAAGGGACCTCCAAGGTTCCATGGCTTCCAAGAGGTCGTGCGACCCCGACGACCCCACTATGGCTCCGCCTCTGCTTGAATCGGTAAAACATGGTGGGTTCACGATGTGCTAATTGAGCTCTCTCAACTGGTTGATGTGTTTGGAAAACTGGTTTTTTAGTAGTTTGAATGTTCAAGAACTTCAGCATATTGTTGAACTCTATGTGTGTAGCATATATATTGGGGAAGAGCCTCATGAACCTGGAAAATTGAGAGATAGGATTGCATGGAAAGATAGGAAGATAAGGTGGGTATTTTAAGAATAATTGTGGATGAAAAGATAAAATTGTGTTTTTTTTCAAATTTACATGGTGGGTGAGAAGATAAGGTGGGTAGGTAATTAGCAGCACTCATTCTAAATTGTCAATGTGGACAAAATTGTTATGAGAAATGTGCATTTAATGCTAGCTCATTTTCCCATAATTTCCCATGGGAATAGAAAATGAAATCCAAGGTGGGGAGGACAATTTCATTTTCCTCCTTATTTTTCATGTGCCAAGCAACCATTTCTCATATTGAAACTTACCGAATATTTGATTTCCCATGAACCAAACGCCCCTTATTATAGAGGTCTAGTTGATAATAAGAAACAAAATATCAGCGACGACCGAGTGTAAATTTACACGAATGCCATTTTTTTTAAGAATTGCAAATGTCTTTCTATACAAGTCTTTTAAGAAACAAAATTTACACTTGGTCGCCGCTTCATCTTCTTTCGATCAAGGAAAAACTCTGCAAAATTGAACCATTTCTCCATCGTCATCAACCGATGGCGATCAAAACCCACAACTATATCTATTGTCTCTTCAAATTTCAACTTTAATTTAATGGGTTATGATCAAGGTCTAAAATATCGGGAGTTTCAAAAATATTGGTTGTGGGAACCGAATTAAATCAGACCATAGGTCAAATAATTTCTTCCATTTGGGGATTATTTGACCTAATTGAGAATTACTCAACCTAATTGGGAGTTACTCAATTTAATTGGGAGTTACCCAATTAAATTGAAAGTTACCTAATTAAATAGTGAACTGCTTTGATTCCTACCACAATTCCCAATTAAATGAGGAGTTACCTAATCAAATTAGGAATTGATTTGATACCTACCACAATTAGGGATTTGATTTACTCTAATAAATCAAATCCCTAATTAATCAAATCAATTCCAAATAGGGGAGGAATAATTCCCTTCCATCTACAGAATTATTCATCTGAAACCCTAGCCTCCAAGACCACTATAAAAAGATAGCCACACACAAGGGTACGTCTGAAATCTCTATTGAAACTCTGCAGAAAATTCCTCTCAAACCCTACTCTCTCTCTCTCTCTCTCTCTCTCTCTCTCTCTCTCTCTCTCTCTCTCTCTCTCTCTCCCTCCCTCCTTTTTACATAAGGCTCCGACCGCCCGGTTTACACCTAAAACACATCTCTGTACCCTAGATTACCTAGTGTTTTTTTTCTTACAAACTCTTGAACTAATTTGGGCATTGGAGGGCCTTTGGCCAACACCACCCGGGTGTGACCCTCTTATTTGTTCTATTTTGTAGGGAGAAAGAGACGGTAGAGAAAGAAGGGAAATCTTTCCAATAGAATATTCTTGTGGGGAAATTTGCTCATACATTGGTGATCCAAAAACATGGAAATTTCAATGGAAATATCGGGAAAATATCGATATCGGTAAAATTTGTATAAAAACCACGGAAATTCTGAGAAAAATTTAGAAATTTTTATTGAAACTTTATAGGATGTTTATTTAATCAATTCTCTATGATTTTATCACCAAAAATTGAAAGGAAATGTATTGGATTGTGGGTTTGAGTGATTTAAGTTGATTATATAGCGATTTGACAAACACTGTAAGTTTAGAAAATATATAATAATTAATGAAAGAAGATTAAACACATTATAATAATTTATTTATGAAAATTTACCACAATATTTGCAAATAGTGCCATGTTTGTTTCCATGTAGTGGGTCTCAATGTTCCCAAATAGGCTCACGACTATTGCCTCCACTAGACATCTTAAAAGTTCCTATATTAATTTCCTTTTTTTTTTGGCTAAACAATGGTAAAATTTCATTAATGCGAATAGAAAGGTTTATAATGTTTAAAAGATAGTAGTACCGGTTATCCAAGGGAACCTAAATAAAGTTATCCTCAGGAAGTTAAGTAGGAAGTAAATAAAATAATTATAGGAATTTAAGTAATTAAGTAACAATATGCGATAATAAAACCTAAATAAAGTCATATGAAATTATATTTCTTTGAAAAAACAGATTGTAGAGACAATATAAATATTATATGGTGTAGCATATAATTACGAAATAACCAGCAACGTGGTGGATAAGCCGCTCAAACAAAGTTGGAAACACCATGCGTGCGTGCAAGCTTCAACCATTTTCATTCTTTTTTTATTAGGTCCATATCACGATATTATAGATAATATCGCCCTAGAAATTATCCTAAAATTATCGCAAAAAAATCAATAAATAGACGATAACTGAAGGGATATGTTTTAAAATATTTTGGTCCATGATTATAATTATTCTTAAATTTTATATCATCATCAAACTCTTGTTTCTCCTTCCCAATTTTCCTTTTCTATTTTTGAGATCGACTATAGTAGGATTATGGGCTGCACTTCACCATTATTAAGCAGCATTACTCCACTTGGATTTCTTGGATGGAGGAAAAAAGAGAAAGAAAACGTTCAAAATCACATAAGCATCTCAAAGGGAAATATAAAATATAAAATGTAAAATTGAAATTTGATGGCTTTTGTGGCAATTTGACATATATTACTCTTTTTCCTTACAACCGATATATTTTTTGTATTAATAAAATAAGCAATAGTAAATGAAGAAGAAGAAAGACATGAATAAAATAATGGGTAATTTGTTGAATTGCCCCCTGAACTTGTACATAAGTCTCAATTTATCCCCTGACATTTTTTTTAAGCGAATTATGGGCTCGAATTAAATTTTATTATCAATGTTCCCCCCACCGTCAAAATTCGAACATTTCATCCATTAATCCGTCCATTTGATTCATGTTGACTCTTTTTTTAGGGTTATTTTGGTCATTCAGCGCCTTTTTTCGGGAAAAAAATTGAAGCAAAAGAGGAAAATTAAACAAAAAAAGAAAAAAGAAAAAGATACTAAAGAAAAAATATCCAGAGAACCCAGGCCCCCACCCCTTGATTTCTTTCTTCCTTCAATTCTCCCATGACCACCCCTTACCCCTACCACCCCTCACCCACAATCCCAGAAATCCCAGCCATCAACCATAAACCCAGAAACCCCTTTTGGTTTTTCACCCCTCCCCCACAAACCCAGAAACCCCAGCTAGCAACTACAAACCCAGAAACCTCTTTCGGTTTTTCACCGCCTCCTCTCTCGCCCTGCGCCATCAATAAGAATACTTGGTAGCTGACAAATTAACATCCTATATAGTACCCGGTAGCACTCAATTTTACTGCACAAGTTATGGTTATCGCTGTTTATACTGAAATCAACGGCCAATAAGAGCTAGACGCATGGACAAAATATGGGATCGGCACGGAAGCCTTCTGCACCCAGGCCTGCCAACCACGTGGTTAAAACACAAATCACCCACTAGACAGGTGGGGCATCTACAGTAAATGTCAATAGTCCCACATCAAAATTCTACACAACTTGCACACCTCCCAAGGTTTATAAAAAGGGCACAAGTCCCAAAATGGAGGTAATATGAACTTTCGGCATACTGCCTTTAGATATGTTCAATTATCTTACTGCATTCATACTTACTTAAACATCAAAGAGCCTTCGGCCAGTACCACACCGGTGCCCTAGGTCTTACCGAGCGGACTCTTATTTTATAGGATCACACTCCACCGAGGCCTAGAGCATTTCGAAGGCCCAGACATCACTAAGTTGATCCCAAAAGCACCGAACCAGTTTTCGCATCAACAGTTTGACACTGTATGTGGGAAGCGATTTTAATTGACCCATTATCCCTATCAAATGGGGACCACATCAGTGCTTGTATTTTTTCCAGAAGAGGGCCTGCCGTTCGGAAGGCAAAGTGGAGCTAGCCCATCGCTACCCACTTACACTCCCTTCAGCAAGACATGACCAAATTACAGGAACACAACAACCTTCTATCGTTAAAAGTGGACGAAACCCAGCAACAAACGCAAAATATCCAGACCACAGAATCCTGCCATAGCCTGTAGACTCCGAGTCAGCAAAAGAAAGGGAAGAAGGGGCAAAGGCAGTGCCTGCGCCTTCCAAGCAGTTGGTAGTCCCAGCTCCTAAGGACAAACCCCACTTGTCGAAGAAGGTTTACTCCGATTGTCTTTATCGGCTTAATGATTGGGAAGCTGAAAGGCAGAGATCTCTGATCAAAATCAATGCGCTCCTCAGAGATTCACGAATAAGGGTTTTGTGAAATAAATCCCCCATCCGAAAGGTACAGGGCTTGGAATCTATGGCAGAATCCGACCACGAGTATGTTCCTTCCAAAACCCGAAAGTCAACCTACTGTTCGGCAATGCCGACACGGTACTCCAACATTTGAAAGATTATGGATCCGAAGAGATTCCTAGCCGGGATCACGTTATTCAACTTCTTTTTCAAAAGGTTCATAAGATGGAAGATGACCGAACTCGTTCTCAAGAGCCCGACTAGGAGAAGCTTCGGCCAGTACCATTCACTGAATGAATAAAGCATTCAAGGCAGGATAGGGATGTACAGCCCCTGCGTATACCGTTCTATACCGGAGGATGAACCTTTAAGAGAATACGTTGCACATTTTAGTCATGAGTACTCGAGGTGTCCCGAAACTGACAATAGGGCAGCCTACGACGCCTTCAAGAATGGCCTTCGGTCTTCACACTTTCGATACCTGGTGTACAGTTGCAACTGGCACACCTATGACGAATTGATGAAGCAAGCAGCAATCCATGCAAAGGCCGAATACTTTAACTTGAAATCCGGGCATTCGGCTCGGCAAGAGGAGCCAGTGCTAAAGAATCATTCGTCGTAGGGGTCACCGTACGCCCCGACTGGCAGGTATCCAGCAAGCCAAAAGCGGAAGGATAATTCGGACTGTCAAAAAGGGCACTCAAAAAAGGGAAAGGGTAAATGCGGTCGCAATGACCATCGGGCACCCTTGCCGAATCATGACCGCAATCAGGAAGTCTTCACCTTGCTGAATACCACTTACGAGTCTCATGAACGAGCATGAGATAATGCCAAAGCCGACTAATTGGAAACCCAATCGATAGGACAATCAGGATACTGGAAAGTTTTGTCGGTATCACCAGCACAACAGTCACAATACGGAAGAATGCATAAGCATAAGGAAAATCGTCGAGCATTTCATTCGGGAGGGCAAGCTGGATTAGTACATTGCCAAGCCACCACAGGTGCCAGCTTCGAACGCAAATCGGCAGATTAATATGATTAGCACTATCAGTGGAGGCCCAACTTTGGCCGGAGTATCCAACCGAGTGAGAAAGTAATATGTTTGAGCCACACAATACCCACAAGTCTTTGGCATAGAGGTCAACCGTCACCATAAAGTGCTGAAGGTTCTGCGAGGAGGAGGAAGAAGGGATCCTTTACCCCGATGATGACCCAATGATCATCCGGGCAAAAATTGCCGACTTCGATATGGGATGAGTGCTGGTCAATACAAGAAGTTCGGTAAACGTAATCTTTTTCGACGCATTTGGGGAGTTGGGAATAGACGATAGTCACGTCAATCGGCAGCTGACGCCTCTACTCAGTTTCTCTGGGGACCTGGTTCAACCAGTTAGCAGCGTCAGTTTGCCCCTAGCCTTCGGCGTTGCCCCAAGAAAAAACAATGATATACGGCTAATTCCTCATAGTCGATTGTCTAATGGCATACAACGTTATAATAGGTCGAACGACATTCATCGGCATCAAGGCGCACCTCTCACCCCACATGTGGCTGATGAAATTCCCAAGCTGCCATGGCACGGGTGCGATCCGAGAAGACCAGCCCAGTGCACAAACATGCTATGCGACAACGCTAAAATTGGCAGCCTTCAAACCTCCAAGGGAGACCATGTCTGTTAAAGGGGCACCGAATGGTAATGGGCCCATTGACGACCCAGGGGATGAAGCTCCGATACTGCAAGCGCAACTTGCTCAGGACTTGGAAACAGTCGTCCTGAACGAGGACCAACCATAAAGGTGCGTAAAGATTGGCATAACACTCAACCCAACCCTCCGAGCGAAGTTTATTGAATTCTTACGGCACCACTCCGAAGTATTTGCTTGGTCATATGACGATATGCCAGGCATCTTCCTAGACATCATCAACCACAAGCTTAATATCTCCCCCACTTATAAACCTGTGCATCAGAAGCGCCGGTCGTATTATGTCGAATGGTACGAAGCCATGAGAGCCTAAGTTAACAAGCTCTAGACTATCGGCTTTATCAGGGAGACTACATATCCTGTGTGGCTAGCAAACTATGTGATGGTTCGGAAGGTGAAAGGCGGGTGGCAAATATGCCAAGACTATATTGATCTAAACAAGGCATGTTCAAAGGATAGCTTTCCGTTGCCCCGAATCGACCAGCTCATAAACGCCACTACCGGCCATGATCTGCTCAGCTTCATGGATGCTTATTCAAGGTACAATTAGATATTTATGCACCTTGTCGACAACGAACATATGAAATTCATTATGGACAAGGGACTATACTGTTACAATGTTATGCCGTTCAGCCTGAAAAATGCTAGAGCAACATATCAAAGGCTGGTCAATCGAATCTTTGCCAAGCACATCGGCAGTACTATGGAAGTGTATGTCGATGATATGCTGGTGAAAAGTAGGACTACAGGGGAGCATTTGCATAACCTATCCCTCATGTTCAGCATACTAAAGGATTACCAAATGAGGTTGAATCCGATGAAGTGCACCTTCGGTGTATCTTCTGGAAAGTTTCTCAGCTTCATGATCAGTTAAAAGAGAATCGAGGCAAACCTCGAGAAAATCAAGGCCATAATAGACATGGAAAGGCCAATGACACAGAAGAACATTCAGAGCCTTACCGGACGTGTTGCCGCCTTAACCCGTTTCATTTTCAAAGCCACCGATAAGTATGTACCGTTCTTCAAAGCCTTGAAAGGGGGCAAACAGTAGATTGCATGGACTGACGAATGTGATAAGGCATTCCAAGACTTAAAGAACTACATGAGCAAAGCACCTTTGTTGTCGAAACCCCTCCCAGGGTAGGTTCTGTTCCTTTATCTTTCGGTATTTAGCACTGCAGTTAGCTCAGTACTGATACACAAACTAGAGAAAGCAGAACTACCGATCTTTTACATCAGTAAAGCACTGCAGAGTGCAGAACTTCGGTATCCTCCCCTAGAACAGTTGGTCATAGCCTTCATAGTCTAAGCCTGAAGACTCCGTTCGTACTTCCAGGCGCATGTAATCACGATTTTAACCAACCAACAGCTTCGACAGGTGTTCTAGAAACCGGAAACATCTTGCAGATTAATCAAGTGGGCAATCAAGCTGGGAGAGTTTGATGTGCAATTCAAGCCAAGACCTGCTGAGAAATGCCAGGTCGTTGTTGACTTTCTCTCCAAACTAACACCTTCGGTAACACCCGAGCCAACACATCCAAGTACTGATGCCGAAGAGCATGGCGTACCAAGTCCAAAATATTTCAATCCTTCAATCTCGATATGGATTTTGAATGTCGACGGCTCAGCAAATCAACAAGGATGTGGCGCTGGCTTGGTGTTAACTATGCTAGACAGAGTCAAGATTGAGTACGCCCTCTGTTTCAGTTTCAGAACGTCCAACAATGAGGCCGAATATGAAGCTCTTCTGGTCGGCCTATTCGCCTACCTGTCAGCTACACACCAATTACTTCAAAAATTCTGGGCCTATGAGATTCGGCAAATACCCAGGACAGAAAACAGTCATGCTGACACATTGGCTAGATTAGCTTTTATCATCAATGACAAGATAGGCAGTAAGGTTCCAGCAGAGATTCTAGATCATCCAAGTATAGTAACCTCTGAAGTATGCACCGTATGGTATGGGATATGTGGATGTCTCCAATTCACGCTTACCTGACAAACGACACCCCGCCCAAAGACAAATTCTAGGCAAGAAGCTGCGATACTGATCGACAAGATACGTAGTCATCAATGATATCCTTTACAAGTGCGGCTATACTACACCTTATCTTAAACGCATCACTGTCGAACTGGGGGACTACGTCCTTCGGGAAATCCATGGAGGGGTCTGTGGTGATCATTCCGGATCCCGATCCCTAGCAGGCCTTTCGGCAGGGGTATTGGCTAACCATGTATATGGATGCAAATGCATTGGTGAAGAAGCGTGACAAATGCCAACAATTGGTAACATGCCCCATATCCCTACCGAGCCATTGACGCCGATCGTAAGTCTATGACCTTTTGCCCAGTGGGGACTTGATCTAATCGGCCCAATGTCGCAAGGTAAAGGCCAGGTCAAGTACGCTGTGGTAGCCGTGGATTACTTCACCAAATGGGTCGAAGTAGAAGCTTTGGTGACCATCACAACAGCAAGAATGGAAGACTTTGTTTGGACCCACATCTACCTCGGATCTCTTTAGACAGTTCTGCCTTAAAATCAATCTATTCTTCGCCTCGCCAGCTCACCCCCAATAAAACAGCCAAGTCGAAGCGATAAACAAAACCATCAAGAAACTGCTAAAACGGTAGCTCGACAACACCAATGGTGCTTGGCCGGAGAAACTTCCCGAAGCACTATAGGCCATCCGAACATCTTTCCGAATGTCCACAGGAGAAACTCCCTTTTTTCTAGCGTTTGGATCGGAAGCCGTCATCCCTTTGAAAATCGGTGAGCCTTCGTACGAAATGGAAAGCTTTGCACCATAGGCAAATGAGGAAAGCCTTCGGTAAATAAAAATACTAAAAGGGACGAACATTTAGTCCATTACTGATGGTCAAGTCACTTCAAATTTTGCCTATAGAGGTCCACTTCAGATTTTGTCTGTGTATGCCTTCGGCAAGATAGCCTCTTATTAAGCCCTCGGTAATAAAATGGTTAAGGATCTAAAGCCTATTGATTTTTTCTTCACTTGCATACTTTTTATCACCCCGATTACTTGTTATCAAAAGATGCGTTAGCCATTGGCAGCAGTCAATTAATCGGTAAAATTCATTGATCAAAACGTTTTAGCATTCGGTGGCAAACAAAAGATGCAAGCAAAGGTAGAAATGCTAAATAAATTAACAAGATGCCCTCGGCATCAAGGTGTTCAGAATTACATCTCATAATGGCGAGTACTGATACAAAAAATAATAAAGATACATAAAGTACAAGAGAATGAAGCCTAGGAAGCAGCCCCATCATCGGCAACAGCAGCACCATCGGTAGGAGCATAGGCGTCTATTGTCTCGACACCCTCGGCAGCAGCAATGGCAACCTCACCTTCATAATCCTCGATCATCTCCTCCATAACGCCTTCCGGCAGAGGAGGGGGATCATCGGCAAAATTGAGGTTGAGCTTCGCCGAGGGGTTATACCGTTTGAAACGGTAGATCAGGTCCGCCTAGACCTGGCAAACGGGTTGTATTAGCGGGTTTTGGGTAGTGTTCGTGTCAACCCACAGGTTGACACGAACATGACCTGTTAAGTTAATGGGTGACAAATACTAGACCCAAACACGACCCGTTACAATTTGTGAATATGCTACACGACCCATTAACCCGTTAAGAATAAACCAAAAAAAGAAGAAAAAAACTATCATAGCTTCGTGTCGTGTTGAGTGGAGAGAAGAAAAGCATAAGAGAATCTTGACCAAAAAAGAGCAGAGAAGAATGGAAGGAAGAAGAAAAGGAAAAGAGGAAAGAAGAAAAAGACAAAAAGGAAAGAAGAAAAGTTAAAAAATGAAAGAAGAAAACTAAAGAGGAAAAACGGAAGAAGAAAAGAAAAAAAAATTTGCAAAATTACAAAATTAACCTCCTTAACAGGTGGCTAACGAGTTAACCCGTTTTCGACCCGACACGACCCGTTAGCTTAACGGGTTCACCAGTTTTCAACCCGACCCATTAAGCTAAACCCAAATACTGATAATTTCATGCAAATTCGTGTCGTGTTAACAAGTCGTGTGCAATATTGCCAGGTCTAGGTCCACCATCTTCGAGCCCATCTCCTTATCTAGAAGGGTAGTGAACTCTTCTGACGAACGGTACTTCCTAATCGCCTATTGGATGGCAACCTCGATTTTGGTAGCCTTTGACCACTCCATCTCCTCCAGCATCACCTCTACCGCTCATTTGGTAGCCTGAATGGACGCATCCAGGGTCGCCCTCATCTCAGACAACTTGGCCTTGGTAGCTTTCACTTGCCGCTCAAGAGCCTCTTTGTCCTTGACTAGGTTGGTGTGGTCTTGAAGAATCTTGCAAGCCTCGGCGACCTTGGAACAGCCATCTTCGTAGGCTTTCTTGGCATGCTCGATAGCTGTGATGGTCCGCTTCATGCACAGCCACATGTCCATGGAAGCCTGGGAAAAAGAAGAGAAAGACCTTCGTCAGCCGAAACAAAAGAAACAAACAGAATCAGAAATGGCAAAAGTTGAAAGGCTTACTGAGGCCTGAAGCCGGAAGACGTTTTCTGCCTCCTTTCGAAGGAGCCTTTTCGAAAGCTCCTCTATCTCCGATAGTTCCATTTGTGAACTGAAGATCATGTGGTTCGCAAATTGAACTGTCTTTGACGGGCAAGCAGTGGTGATGGGCTTAGTAAGACCCTCTTCGTCTTCAACGAAAAAAACAGCCCTCGGCTATTCTGAAGTTCGACCACGCTTGGGTACTGGTTAGGCTTCCAAGTCCATAAGCAGCGACTGTTTCTTAACGGATTTGGACGTAGCTCCAGCATCCAACCCGCACTTCGATATAGGTTCAGTACTCTAATCGCGCTGGGGTACTGATTCGGCCCCTAGCCTACGCTCGGGTACTGGTTCGGCCCCAAGTTGCTTTAGTCGATCGATAAGGGTCTAGTTATCCAGATCGGCCTCCGTCATTTGGGGAGATGCCAACGGTAGTGGCTGCCATTGTTTCTTCTCCTTCATCCCCAACAAAAGGCACATCTTCAAAAATTCTGACATTTTTTTAGCCTCGGCAGATGACTTGGCTTCAGTCACTGAACAAAAACATGGCGTTAAAACGATATATGACTACCATACAGAATCATGTACTCACTATCGGGAAAGCATTTACTTTTGGCAAGGTCAGCAATGTGGGCCTTGACTAGGTTCTTCGTGAAAAGGAAGCTCGAATAAATCCTCTCAACGGCAAGGACCTTCAGCTTCACCTACTCGACCCTCCGAATGTTGGACTAAGAAGAAGCCGGTTGCTTCAATTTGCCTACAGAACAGACAAAGAAAACGTTAGTCATAATAAAAATGGAGTCTTACCGATGATTTACCGGCTATCTGAAAAGTTGTGGGTATGTGATGGCGAACGGGCCTCTCCGAAGGTTACTCACAGTCACCGGACAAAAGGACCCTCCGATTCCTCCATGACTTCTGAGAAGTTGGTACAACCTTAATGAAGTGGCCATGCTCGGAAGCTCGGAGGCAGTTAGCTTGAACCCAACTTCCATGCCTAGCGCAGTTCGACTTGGTGACATTGTATAAGTACGAGAATGGCTCGTAGGTTGGCTCCCTTTCCTCGGAAAGACTGAAGGCCACGATTACACTCATAAAGGCTACCCAAAAGTTGGGATTGTATTGACCTGGGGTGAAACCCAATTGGGCAAGAATCCTCTGAATGGGAGGCTGTAAAGGTAGCCGAACCTCATGTTGAAGCATGTAAAAAAGATGACTTCATCGTCCTTGGGATTGCTCAGCGATTCGGTAAGCCCTGGTATTCTCCATTTCATCGAATCTGGTATAAGATATTTGGCATGATATTTGGCCAGCTCCTATTTGGTTATCTTGTTTGGCTCCAAGTAGTTAACACCAAACAAATACTCCTTCGACTGCCCTAAAGGAATTCGAGGGTTACCCCGGTGGACTATGGTGACAACCGGTCGGGGGGAGGATTCAGCAGCAGCATCTCCACAGCCAGATGTGGAGGTTTCCGGTTGGTAGCTAGCGTGGTGTTCTGGTGCCTGATTATCCCTCATTAGGAACTCGGAGTACTGGCTAGCGCTAGCACTCTGGCCGTTGTACAGCACCGTGGCCAACGACACTGGTTGTTCGGTTATGAGCCATTTCCCTCTGCTATGGGTAGGGACGGAACCCATTCTCTCATCGACAATTTTAACCTTGGTGTCTTCACTATTAGCACTGTCAAAGCTCAGTGCCTCACTACTGGTGCCCTACCGATTGTTCGATGAATCCCTATCGAAAGTGTTAGGCTCACTATCGTATCTAGACTCGCTATCAGACATCTACAAGCAAAAAAGGAAGAGAAATTAAATGTCATGCGTGGAATACCGATGCTTATGGATGACACTACCTACGGCAACTAGACTATCGAACATACTTCGCGACATGCAAATAGTCTAGTCCATGCCAAATGAGTACATTAAATCAGAAAAAGGAAGTAGAAGGACTAGAATACCTTGTGTCTGTGCCGAATGAGATCGCCAGAAATTGCCTAAGTTATCGAATGAGATCTCCGGAAATCCCCTAAATTACCGAATCAGCTCACCAGAAATCACCTCTCTCAAAGCTCTCAAATTGCTCTCACAACACAAGTGACTCTTCCCTCCAGAGACACCCCTATTTATAGGATAAAGAGCCATTATTACCTTGTTCTGCCTGCATGTTGCGATACATGGCATTAACCAGGAGGGGCGGCTGTTCGCACGCTAGGCACAGAAGATTGGGCACCTTCCAGGCCAGACGATCCCACTTCCCCATGTAGCATGCCGCATGTAGACTCCCGAAGGATGATCACACAGGAGGTTGCCGAAATGGCTGAGTGTGTGCCGAATGGCTGGGTGAGATCAGGTGACCTTTGAACTGCCCACATCTCACCAAACCCAAGGATAGTGCCTCCTCAAAAGCACACTTGGCTTCACGACTTCACAAAAATACCGAACGACACCATCTTCCTGATGGCAACTCGCATGCACTGAGGATCAAGCAAGTCCCAACTGAGAGGCTCTCTCACTTAGAGACTTGGGGGACTCCTATGTATACCAAAATTAGAGGCCAATAAAAGCCAGACGCATGGACAAAATATGGCATCGGCACGGAAGCCCTTGGCACCCAGGCTTGCCGACCACGTGGTTAAAACACAAATCACCCACTAGACATGTGGGGCATCTATAGTGAATGTCAATAGTCCCACATCGAAATTCTACACAACTTGCACACCTCCCCAAGGTTTATAGAAAAGACACAAGTCCCAAAATGGAGATAATCTGAACTTTCGGCATACTGCCCTTAGATCTGTTCAATTCTTTTACTACATCCATACTTACTTAAGCATTGGAGAGCTTTCGGCCAGTACCACATCGGTGCCCTAGGTCTTACTGAGCGGACTCTTATTTTACAGGATCACGCTCCATCGAGGCTCAGAGCATTCAGAAGGCCCAGACATCACTAAGTTGAGCCCAAAAGTACCGAACCACTTTTTCGCATCAACAATTACTAAAGGATAGATGAAGCAGGAAAGTAGCCTCGTCGACTACTCATTCGCCATTAACAAGAATTCTACACTATAAAAATCGCAATAACAAAACAAAACAGGAAAAAGAAAAAAAGAAAGTCGATACCTTGGAGGACATAAGCGACCTGGGCAAAATTAGAGTACTTGGGGAGAGCAAACCCATTCTTCTCAAGAGCAGGCTTGGCAACGCCAATGTTACCTTCACGAAGCATGGGAAGCTAATATGAGGACCAAGCAAAGTAGGACCCCCACCATCTCCACCATAACTTGCTTTATACTTTTATGCTGAGAAAGCCCCATATGGTTTTTGAATATGTTTATGTTTGACTTGATATTCTCGTAAACAAACTCATCTTGGTGAGTTTTGATAGAATCTGTTGTTACTGGCAAGCTGCTATGGTGGTGGTCTTTGCAAGACTGAGGCTGCCAAATCAATGAAGACCCAAGGAAGGCGTCGAAAAGCCTGGTGAGGTTGATAATGAAGAACTCGAGCTGAATGACCAAAATAACCCTCAAAAGAGAATCAACATGAGTCAAATGACAGATTAATGGATGAAATGTTCAAATTTTGACGGTGGAGGGAACATTGATAATAAAATTTAATTTAAGTCCTTAATTTGCTAAAACAAAAGTTAAGGGGTAAATTAAGAATTATGTATAAGTTTAGGGGGAAATTCAGCAAATTACCCTAAAATAATAGTAAATTATAGAAAGTGGCATTCTCTATTGGTGCTCATGTAACAAGTTTAATAATTAAAAATAAAAAGCACACCGTAACAAAGCCCAAAGAATTACTTGGTGGGCCCTTTGGTTTAAAATGTTAGAAATTAATACAAATAACGCTTGGAGTTTGGAGCGTTAATTTTGACGTTGTGAAGGGGCGACAACATTCCACCTTAGATGTTGGAGTGTTTTTTGCTATTTTTTTTTCCAGCTAATTTGGCTTCAACATTGGATTTGACATTTCCTTTGGTGTAAATTTGTATATATATATATATATATATATATTTTTTATAAGAGTTAACATAGTTTAGCTTCAGATAATTAGAGGGACATGTGTCAAAATTTTACACAAGGGACAAAAGGAGATATGAAATTTGAGGACAACAGATCCTAACCCGTAAAAACAACTTGCCAATGTAATCTAAGATTCTATTTGATAGATCATTCAAATAAGCTTATTTGAGAGACATCTTTGTAGGGTCCACTATATGCCTTAGAGGTGGTTATCGAGATCGAAAAACTGGAACACTGAGTTGCACCAAATAAAAAAAATCAGAAAAAAACCATGTTGACTAAAAAGTCAATAAATTGACATCGAGCCGAATCGGATCGGACAAACTGCGTATGTTTTTATATTTATTTTAAAATTATTTCCAGGAAAGGAAAAGAAGGATTTGGCTGATGTGTAGAGCCAGACGTGTTAAAAATAAGCTTATTAATTCATATATCTTATCAAATAACAATGCATAAAAAAGAGTTGGGATTAGTTTGGGTAGGATAGATTTGATTGTAAATGGGTAAGTATTTTTTTGGGAAAAATTAGAGTAGGACCGCCACGGGCAAATCTTTATTTCCTTCACTCCTTGAAATCATTAAATTCTCTGGACCCTAATATTATTTGTATTTTTTCAGCAACCAAATGTTATGAAGAAGAAAATAGTTAAGCTACAAACTCTTTTCAATGGGGAATTCGTTGGAAACGTTTTGAGGGTGTGTGTGTGTAAACTCTTGTACAATGATGCTATAAACAAGGAGAAAGAAGACAGAAGATGAAAGAAAAGGATTGCCCAAAAAACCAAAAAAAAACAAAGAGAAGGGAGAGAGAATATAATTAATTAATAGTCTTAAAAGTTGGGCTGCTGGGTTGTTCTCAATGTTTATATTTTCTAAAGTAAATTTAAGCTTTAGTCAAATTTTTTTTTCACTTTTGGAAAAAGCCAAAGCTTTTTCAAAAAAGACAGAAAAACCTCTCAACTTTCAAATCAAAGACATGCAAATGTAAAGAATTTCTTAGAAAATCCAAAAATAAATAAGGGCAATTTTGTTCATTTTGACTTCTTTTACAAAATTTCTTAAACCGATGGTTTAAATAGTGTCAAAACACATGAGCTTTTATTGGTGAAAGTAGGAATTAGGGTTTCCAAGATATGTGAGAAGCGAAGCTTAAGCCTTAAGCCAAGGGTGCAAGAGATGTCGTGAGTTGTATGGTTCCACTATTTTTTTTTCCTATTAACAAAATAAGATGTATATTTACGTTTTTTATTTTATTTTTATGGAAAAAAGATAAGACGCACCAATCCAAACAGCAAATGGTGTGGTAATTTTTTTTAATTTTTTTTCCCCAAAATTTTGGGCTGGATTATCTTCTTAATAATAAATAAATTTTAGATTTGCCCGCATCATTGATGGGCCGAACACAAATGTGATAAATGGCTCAGTTGTAGGGATCTAGTCGAGAAGACATTGTAATATAAAGGTCCCATTTTGATATTTTGGGGGTCTGTATAAATAAATAGTTCTAATGCTAGGTGAATGAAAGCAGATTTTACAAGGATTACTATTAGAAAGGGAAGAGGCCTGTGGCTCGACTATATATACACAACTACAACACACCACAAACTCAAACTCAAACCCCTCTTCAACTCTCATACTAAAGAAATGGCATTGGCACCCAAGATTGACGTGAAAAGTTTGGACGAAAAGTTAGAGAATTTCCACCGACTGTACTCCATCAAGAAGAAGAAAGAGTTGCATGACAAAGAAAGCAACAAAGTCATCAACATGAGAGCCATGGCGGCCAAAGAAGCTCCTCAAGAAGAATGGCAAATGATCATTCGAGAGAAACTTGTCGTGAAACAAGTTTTTGCCAGTGGAGGCTTCGGGTCCGTTCATAAAGGCATCTACGATGGACAAGAAGTTGCAGGTGCGGTAATTATATCTATGTTTACATGCGCAAATTTATGTGTATATATATGTGTGTGCATAATTTTGTCAAACTTCACTGAAGGTGTGTCTTTTATTTTTTTCTTGATTATACAGTCAAAGTAATGGAGTGGGGAGAAGACCGCCGAACAAAGTGTGAAATAGCTTCTTTGAAGAAAGATTTTAGGCAGGAGGTTTCTATTTGGCATAAGCTTGATCATCCTAACATTACTAAGGTACTACGACAATGGTTATTTGTTTTTGCATTTCGTTCTTCTGTCCACTGTCAAACTAATATTTTTATCTTAGTTTGTTATTAATTATTTTTCTTTAATTTTCTTGGTGATTAGTGTATTGGAGCCACAACGGATACCGACTCTGCCTCTGTTATTACTGAGTATCTTTCTGGAGGAACCTTAAAAGCCTTCCTCATCCAACACCGAAAAAAGAAGTTGCCTCTCAAGACAGTCAAACGACTAGCAGTTGATCTTGCTAAAGGGTATGTCTCGTTTCCATACATACGTTATTTGTCTTTGTTGATATCTTCCCTGCACCTCAGTAACAGTGTAGTAATACATACGTTTATAACATATATTATATATGCAAGTATACTATTACTAATGACATATGTATGTGTTCGCATGCAGATTGAGTTATTTGCACTCCAAGAACATTGTTCATAGAGACGTGAAAACGGAAAATGTGCTTCTTGATAAGGATGGTAGGGTGAAGTTAGCAGACTTTGGAGTTGCTCGTCTGGAGGCTTCAAATTTAGCAGAGATGACAGGCTACACGGGAACCCCTGGATACATGGCCCCTGAGGTATCAATTAATTCACTTTTTTTTTCTCTACTTAGATTTTAAAGGCTTGCCCTAGACTTCGAATTATATATTAATTGCAGCAATCTGATCAATACCAAATGTTCTGATTGGATGATATGATGATGATGATGCAGGTCTTGGAATGTAAACCCTACAACAGAAAATGCGACGTTTATAGCTTCGGGATTTGCTTGTGGGAGATGTATTGCTGCGATATGCCCTACCCTAACATCACATTCTCCGAATTGACTTCGGCTGTTGTTTATAAAGTATGTCATTTCTCTTTCCATCTTTCTTTCTTTTATAATGTAGTCTGAGTGACCCCAAACTTATTATTTTTGTACTTATGTGTTGCTTCAGAATTTGAGGCCAGAGATACCCAAGCAATGCCCAAGCTCTCTAGCCAAAGTGATGAAACAGTGCTGGGATGGAGAACCCAAGAGAAGGCCAGAAATGGAGGAGGTTGTTTCCATGCTAGAGACAATTAACACGTCAAACAGTGCTCCTTCGGGTTGCTTCAGCTTCTTCGGCTCAAGACGCTAACAGACTCATTTCAACGTAAATGACAAAAGAAAGGAGTGTGGTACTCTTTCCTTGACCGGATTTTCCTCCTTCGAGAGGTTTTTTATGGCAAGGTTTTAACGAGGCCACTAATTTACTCCTCTAGTCCTCTCTGATTGTGCTGGATGTATTTTAAGCAGTCAATGAAGCTGATTTCAGTTTGATCCCAAAAAGAAAAGACAAAAATTGATTGAAAATGTTTATCATTTAAGTTTCATCAGCACAAACGCAAGTGAAAATTAAAGTGAAGTGAAAATGAAAGACAGGATAAGGACAAAAACACACTAAAAGAGAGATTATAACTAAGTAAACGACGGAAATCACTTCAAAAAGACAGCTTCACTCCTTAACATACAATGTAAATTGTGAACATTAGCTTAAGAAGTCCGCCATGACTTTTAGCCCTAATTGATGTGTTCATAAATTCACATGATTTTATATCCTTTTTACTTAGTTTTGTGAATAAATTTGGACTAAAGATGCTGAGTTGAGTTATTTCCTGTTTTTCAGCTTATGAGCCACTGAATGAATAAATTTGCCAAATATTCATCGTAATAGAGTTCGACATGATTCCAATTGGAGATGGGAGACAGCATCTTGAAGTTTATCCATGAATATTTTCATAATTTTTGAAGACTGCTAAGGTGCCCATTTTTAATTAGACAATTCAGCATAAATCAATTCCCGGAGAATACTGAGTCAGCAGGGGTATTTTGGCTACAACTCACTCATACGACATCGGATTGAGGCACATGATATATGGCTGAAAAGAAGACATCCAGAGCTTTCCAAACAGTGGTCGTACGTAATTTTTGGAGGTCAGAAACATGTCCAAATCGCATTCGCAATGAGGATCACGTGCAGTTTCCTGGAGGTTTTAGGAAACTTAGTTTTAATTAGCTTT